ATTTTTCCAAAGCTGTCTGCATCGCAGACAAATCGCCTTTTTTTGCTCGCTCGACCTTTTTTATTTTATAGTGTACATTTGCGGGCTGACTATGGAAGACCTTTTATTTGTAACCCGCGTCGAGGTACTCACTTTATGTGTCGGCCGTATCGACCAAAGTTTGGTATGTTTCGATCGTGCTTAACCAAAATTCGGTGTGTTTCGCAATTGCTCGATCGAAAAAGTGGTGCTAAATCCAAGCAAGATTGGTTTCGACCGTGCTCGGCCGGAAAAAATGTGATCGACCGTGCTCGACCCAAGCAATATTTTTTTTGACTGTGCTCGCTCAAATTCGGGTATGTTTCCTCACTGAAACAACATGAGTAATGCAAATATAAACATTGTAATTTATACTTTTCGGTTTACATCTTCTGATGATTTTTCATCAGAAAAAAATTATTAGAGTTATTTGCAATTTAAATGCCGTGTAGAGATTTGTATATTTCGACTATTTTTGAGCTATTTTTTTTTCATTGTTTTGAATACTGGTTTGCAATTGTTGACTCTAAATTATCACGGGATAATCTGTATTTTTCGACCGTGGTCGAGGTATATTTTGACCATGCTCGACCGTACTCGTGTTTATGTTTCGACCCTGCTTGAGTTATGTTTCGACCGTGGTCATGGTATGTTGTGAGTGGGCTCGAAGTATGTTTAGACCGTGCTCGAGGTACGTTCCAAACTTGTGCTCGATCTCAACCGCTGTCTCGCCTGTTATTTTTCGGTCGAGTACTGACATGAGCTCAAATTTGAAAGTCGAAACAAAAAGTCAGCACTTCGACTCGGGAAGGTGCATCTTTTCGCTATTAATTGGTAGGTGTTCGTTGGTCAGAATCGCCTATGATTCACACACTCCCTCCCCCATAAGCACGCCCCTGGCTGGCTCGATTTGCATTTTAATTGCACTGCGACAGCAACCTTAGGCAAAAAAGCTCTTTTAGGTATGAGTTATTCCGGCGTTAACAAAAACAGAAAAAAAACGTATTTTATTGCAGTATTTTATTACCTTGTAAGTGACTACTCAATAATTTAAGTTGACAAATTTTTTCGCAAAATTTATATTTCGACTGCACATTTTTTTTTTCACATTTTCATACGTCTTTTTCCCTTTTTCCATTTTCATTTCAACATAACGGGGAAAAACTGTGCATTTTGTGAATTGTGAGCGGATTCCTCAATCAGATTTGTCGCGAAATCCGCAACATTGTTACATTTCTTTGATCTTTTTTTGCTGTTTGGGATGCCAAAAGCAAATTGCTAAAACACTGTACCGCTCTCGAAATTTACGTTAGAGGTATTTATACGCGGAATCCACGGAATTTTGTTGGTAGAAAACACTCATATTTTGGAACATGTTTGAAAACTTGTCTCTGGAATTCCACTGACTTACAGACAACAAATTGTGCGCCTATCCAGTACACAGTTTGGCCTCGTAATCAAACTTATAACTTTGTAGTTGAAACGTTTTTTTTTTCAGCGTATGTCACCAAATATCTGTTTATGGGGCAGTATTTACCTCAAGGAAGCATCCTACAACACGAAAAAGTCAAACTGTTTGTCACCCATTGCGGGGCAAACTCCGCTCTTGATAGTATTCACGCCGTTAAACCGATGATCACGTTTCCTGGCTTCGCAGATCAACCTCTAACCTCAAACATTCTAATTAACCTTCGGGTCGCCAAACTGCTGAAAAAGTTCGAGTTCAACCAGATGAAAGTTCGAATCGAGGAAATGCTAGCTGAACCAAATTACTCCGAGATGCTTGAAAGGTTAAAGAAGGTCAAAGACGAGCAAGTCAAGATGGGCGGGTACAAAACAGGCGTGGAAGTTGTCGAGAAGATTATTGAAGGTCAAATTGAGGTCAATCACTCAATCGTGTCTGAAGATGTCGCTGGATCTTTGTACACACAGTTTATCATTTCGGCTGTGGTTCTAACCTTGGTTATTTTTGCGGTAATTTTAGTTGTGGTGTGTTGCTGCCGAATATTTTGCCTCATGAATAAAGGCTGCACGCGTCACAGTCGAAAGGAAATTGCGACGAGAACAAATGCAACCAAGAAGCAAAAATCGGACAAAGTCGAGTGACTCAACTATTAAACACATTTTATCATTAGACATTATTGATAAAATGTCATTAGACATTATCATTAGAGTATTTTTGGTTATGGGTAAACGTCAAAACTTTATAAACCTAAGCGTCAAAATCAATTTTTGAGATAAATATTGATTGGCTTAAATAATTTTTCTGAAAAAACTCAATGTGGTTGAGTTGTTGTGACATGTTAAAGGAAGGACAGAATGCTGGGTGAGGATGAAGGAGTAAAAACATAGAAGAATTTGAGGTCACACTGTCTTCACTACAATTTTTCATACTTTCAGCTGTCATCTATGTTTGGTCATAAAGTGTATACCATTCTATTAGAGCTGAGAGTTGAGTTTAGAATGATATGGTATTGAAAAATGTGGTTCCCGCGAATCGCAGAGGAGCTATCAAAAAGCCTTAACAGGCATGTCAAAGGATAGTTCATTTGTATAATCCCCCCACATTCTAGGTTGTGTTAATTTGCTAAGCAAAGCTCTTTTGCGACTCAAATGTGCTTTTAGCTTATAGAACTTTCACGTGGTACCACTATTGCAGCTGACATTGGTCAGGTTATGGTAAACCTGAAGCTAGAGATCAAGTGGGAACTCTTCCTCACACACTTTCGTTGTCATGGCATGGGGTCGACTAGACCCTGTTGATAAAAAACGGCCTATTCCTCGCGTGATAATTTTTCAGCTGTAAAAGTTCGTGCAACTGATCTAATACTGACCTTAATTCTACTCTTTGTTTCTGGTTTCGGTAAATTTACAGAAACTACTGGTAAAAGCAGAAAATTCTATTCAAACACGCAGGCAGCTGCCAAGAAAACTTAAAATGTAACATCCACGATGATAATTTAGAAAACAAAAAATTTGAAATTTTTTCCTCTGAAGTTCAATTTTCTCAAATTATCTGCATTTTACTTGGAAAGGGGCTGGAGTTGTTGTTTCATCTTTACAATAAAATTAGCCAAAATGTCAGAAAAAAAGCAAAATAAAATGCAAGGCCGCTTTTACTTTTATCTTGTCCATTGAACTTAGAGGTAAATTGGTCTAAAAAGCTTCAAAAAGCCTAGCTATTCTTTTCTCAAAACCAGTACACTTTCCTGAGAGGGATAAGATTTAGGAACTGGAATGAAAATTGAGAACGTGTATGACCAAATGACACTCGAGCACTGATATATCTGAAACCACTTGATAAATAAAAACATTTAACGCCTTAGTTCGGCGGACTTTTGTTTTCATTTTTAAAAAAACTTCTGAAAATTTATATGAAATGGTATTTTAAAGGAACGATGAGTAAATTAAAAAAAAAATTGAACTAAAACTCTTTCCAAAAGTTCTAATTGAAAACTGATACCAATTCAATCATTTTTCTTTAAAGTTTAAGGAAAGACAGAATGCTGGGAGAGGATGAAATGGTAAAAACATAAAAGAATTTGAGGTTAGACTGTCTTCATTACATTTTTTCATATTTTCAGCTGTCATCTATGTTTGGTCATAAAAAGTATAGCATTCAATAAGAATGGAGAGTTGAGGTTAGAATGATATGTTTTTGAAAAATGTGGTTTCCGCGGATCGCAGAGGAGCTATCAGAAGGCCTTAACAGGCATGTCAAAGGGTAGTTCATTTGTATTATCCCCCCACATTCTAGACTGTGTGATTTTGCTAAGCAAAGCTCTTTTGCGACTCAAATGTGCTTTTTGCGTATAGAACTTTCAAGTGGTACCACTATTGCAGCTGAAATTGGTCAGGTTGTGGTAAACCTGAAGCTAAAGATCAAGTGGGAACTCTTCCTCACACACTATCCTTGGCATGGCATGGGGTCGACTAGACCCCGTTGATGACAAACGGCCTGTTCCTCGCGTGATAATTTTTCAGCTGTAAAAGTTCGTGCAACTGATCTAATACTGACCTTAATTCTACTCTTTGTTTCTGGTTTCGGTAAATTTACAGAAAATACTGGTAAAAGCAGAAAACTATTCAAACACGCAGGCAGCTGCCAAGAAAACGTATAATTTAACATCCACGATGATAATTAAGAAAACAAAAAATTTGAAATTTTTTCCTCTGAAGTTCAATTTTCTCAAATTTTCTGCATTTTACTTGGAAAGGGGCTGGAGTTGTTGTTTCATCTTTACAATAAAATTAGCCAAAATGTCAGAAAAAAAGCAAAATAAAATGCAAGGCCGCTTTTACTTTTATCTTGTCCATTGAACTTAGAGGTGAATTGGTCTAAAAAGCTTCAAAAAGCCTAGTTATTCTTTTCTAAAAACCAGTACACTTTCCTGAGAGAGATAAATTTTTGGAACTGGAATGAAAATTGAGAACGTGTATGACCAAATGACACTCGAGCACTGATATATCTGAAACCACTTGATAAAACAAAACATCTAACGCCTTAGTTCGGCGGACTTTTGTTTTCATTTAAAAAAAACTTCTGAAAATTTATATGAAATAGTATTTTAAAGGAACGATGAGTACATTTAAAAAAAAATTGAACTAAAACTCTTTCCAAAAGTTCTAATTGAAAACAGATACCAATTCAATCTTTTTTCTTTAAAGTTTAAGGAAAGACAGAATGCTCGGAGAGGATGAAGGGGTAAAAACATAAAAGAATTTGAGGTTAGACTGTCTTCATTCCTTTTTTTCATACTTTCAGCTGTCATCTATGTTTGGTCATAAAAAGTATACCATTCAATTAGAATGGAGAGTTGAGGTTGGAATGATATGGTATTGAAAAATGTGGTTCCCGCGAATCGCAGAGGAGCTATCAGAAGGCCTTAACAGGCATGTCAAAGGATAGTTCATTTGTATAATCCCCCCACATTCTAGACTGTGTTAATTTGCTAAGTAAAGCTCTTTTGCGACTCAAATGTGCTTCTCGCTTATAGAACTTTCACGTGGTACCACTATTGCAGCTCAAAGTGGTCAGGTTATGGTAAACCTGAAGCTAGAGATCAAGTGGGAACTCTTCCTCACACACTTCCGTTGTCATGGCATGGGGTCAACTAGACCCTGTTGATAAAAAACGGCCTATTCCCCGCGTGATAATTTTTCAGCTGTAAAAGTTCGTGCAACTGATCTAATACTGACCTTAATTCTACTCTTTGTTTCTAGTTTCGGTAAATTCACAGAAACTACTGGTAAAAGCAGAAAATTCTATTCAAACACGCAGGCAGCTGCCAAGAAAACTTAAAATTTAACATCCACGATGATAATTTAGAAAACAAAAACTTTGAAACTTTTTCCTCTCAAGTTCAATTTTCTCAAATTATTAGCATTTTACTTGGAAAGAGGCTGGAGTTGTTGTTTCATCTTTACAATAAAATTAGCCAAAATGTCAGAAAAGAAAGCAAAATCAAATGCAAGGCCGCTTTTACTTTTATCTTGTCCATTCAACTTAGAGGTGAATTGGTTTAAAAGGCTTCAAAAAAGCCTAGCTATTCTTCTCTCAAAACCGGTACACATTCCTGAGAGGGATAAGTTATTGGAATTGGAATGAAAATTGAGAGCATGTATGACCAAATGACACTCGAGCGCTGATATATCTGCAACCACTTGATAAAACAAAAATTTAACGCCTTAGTTCGGCGGACTTTTGTTTTCATTTTTAAAAAACTTCTGAAAATTTATATGAAATGGTATTTTGGAGGAACGATGAGTACATATAAAAAAAAATTCAACTAAAACTCTTTCCAAAAGTTCTAATTGAAAACAAATACCAATTCAATCTTTTTTCTTTAAAGTTTAAGGAAAGACAAAATGCTGGGAGAGGATGAAGGGGTAAAAACATAAAAGAATTTGAGGTTAGACTGTCTTCATTACATTTTTTCATACTTTCAGTTATCATCTATGTTTGGTCATATAAAGTATACCATTCAATTAGAATGGAGAGTTGAGGTTAGAATGATATGGTATTGAAAAATTTGGTTTCCGCGAATCGCAGAGGAGCTATCAGAAGGCCTTAACAGGCATGTCAAAGGATAGTTCATTTGTATAATCCCCCCACATTCTAGACTGCGTTAATTTGCTAAGCAAAGCTCTTTTGCGACTCAAATGTGCTTTTAGCTTATAGAACTTTCACGTGTACCACTATTGCAGCTGAAATTGGTCAGGTTATGGTAAACCTGAAGCTAGAGATCAAGTGGGAACTCTTCCTCACACACTTTCGTTGTCATGGCATGGGGTCGACTAGACCCTGTTGATAAAAAACGGCCTATTCCCCGCGTGATAATTTTTCAGCTGTAAAAGTTCGTGCAACTGATCTAATACTGACCTTAATTCTACTCTTTGTTTCTGGTTTCGGTAAATTTACAGAAACTACTGGTAAAAGCAGAAAATTCTATTCAAACACGCAGGCAGCTGCCAAGAAAACTTAAAATGCAACATCCACGATGATAATTTAGAAAACAAAAACTTTGAAACTTTTTCCTCTCAAGTTCAATTTTCTCAAATTATCAGCATTTTACTTGGAAAGGGACTGGGGTTGTTGTTTCATCTTTACAATAAAGTTAGCCAAAATGTCAGAAAAGAAAGCAAAATTAAATGCAAGGCCACTTCTACTTGTCCATTCTTGTCCATTCAACTTAGAGGCGAATTGGTTTAAAAGGCTTCAAAAAAGCCCAGCTATTCTTCTCTCAAAACCGGTACACATTCCTGAGAGGGATAAGTTATTGGAATTGGAATGAAAATTGAGAACATGTATGACCAAATGACACTCGAGCGCTGATATATCTGAAACCACTTGATAAAACAAAACATTGAACGCCTTAGTTCGGCGGACTTTTGTTTTCATTTTTAAAAAACTTCTGAAAATTTATATGAAATGGTATTTTGGAGGAACGATGAGTACATATAAAAAAAAATTGAACTAAAACTCTTTCCAAAAGTTCTAATTGAAAACAAATACCAATTCAATCTTTTTTCGTTAAAGTTTAAGGAAAGACAGAATGCTGGGAGAGGATGAAGGGGTAAAAACATAAAAGAAATTGAGGTTAGACTGTCTTCATTACACTTTTTCATACTTTCAGCTGTCATCTATGTTTGGTCATAAAAAGTATACCATTCAATTAGAATGGAGAGTTGAGGTTAGAATGATATGGTATTGAAAAATTTGGTTTCCGCGAATCGCAGAGGAGCTATCAGAAGGCCTTAAAAGGCATGTCAAAGGAGAGTTCATTTGTATAATCCCCCCACATTCTAGACTGTGTTAATTTGCTAAGCAAAGCTCTTTTGCGACTCAAATGTGCTTTTAGCATATAGAACTTTCACGTGGTACCACTATTGCAGCTGAAATTGGTCAGGTTATGGTAAACCTGAAGCTAGAGATCAAGTGGGAACTCTTCCTCACTCACTTTCGTTGTGATGGCATGGGGTCGACTAGACCCTGTTGATAAAAAACGGCCTATTCCCCGCGTGATAATTTTTCAGCTGTAAAAGTTCGTGCAACTGATCTAATACTGACCTTAATTCTACTCTTTGTTTCTGGTTTCGGTAAATTTACAGAAACTACTGGTAAAAGCAGAAAATTCCATTCAAACACGCAGGCAGCTGCCAAGAAAACTTAAAATGTAACATCCACGATGATAATTTAGAAAACAAAAACTTTGAAACTTTTTCCTCTCAAGTTCAATTTTCTCAAATTATCAGCATTTTACTTGGAAAGGGGCTGGAGTTGTTGTTTCATCTTTACAATAAAGTTAGCCAAAATGTCAGAAAAGAAAGCAAAATTAAATGCAAGGTCGCTTTTACTTTTATCTTGTCCATTCAACTTAGAGGTGAATTGGTTTAAAAGGCTTCAAAAAAGCCTAGCTATTCTTTTCTCAAAACCGTTACACATTCCTGAGAGGAATAAGTTATTGGAATTGGAATGAAAATTGAGAACCTGTATGACCAAATGACACTCGAGCGCTGATATATCTGAAACCACTTGATAAAACAAAACATTTAACGCCTTAGTTCGGCGGACTTTTGTTTTCATTTTTAAAAAAATTTCTGAAAAGTTCTATGAAATGGTATTTTAAGAGAAAGATGAGTACATTTTTTAAAACACTGAACTAAAACTCTTTCCAAAAGTTCTAATCAAAAACAGATACCAATTCCATCACTTTTCTTTAAATTTTACACCAATATTAAGCGGCATGCAAATCTAATCCAATAACTTCACAATGAATATAAGTTAGGAAACTGGGTAAAAAATTCTCTGGAATCTATCCTCAATTTGCTATGGAAATTGCTATAAATCACGAAAAAGATCATATTTTCTTGAAAATGAATTTTTTTCTGATGAGCTATTACAGAAAGTGGTAGATGAAACAGATTCAACTGCGTAGAGAAAAACATCTGGCTCTAACTGGTATTCGAACCCGGGCCCATGGGCCTTCAGTCCAATGCGTTAACCACTAAACCAACCGGTCTCAGAATTGAGAAGTGAAAACTTTAGAATTAACGTCACAACAGAGAATAAGTAATTCAATAACAGTTGTTAGCCATGCTATTTTTCGACTTTGTAAACCAAACTAAAAATGATGAGGGCGATAGTGTCTACTTTTTGCAAAAAATTACTGAGTACAGATTTGGGGTACCTGGAAAACTTATTGAAATAGACAGTTCTGTGGTAGCCAAGAGAAAATACAACCGCGGTCGAATGATCAAGGAGAAATTGAATTTCGGCGGATACGACCCGGAAAACAAACTCGGTTATTTGGATTTTGCTGAGGACGGGGGGGGGGGTGAAACTCTGTTAGAGGTAATCTACCAAAGAATTTTGCTGGGAAAAAAATTGGTCAGATGGCTGGACATCTTACATTCCGTTATGTAGACCAAAACCCGTAGTTTGTCTTCACATATCTGTTGATCACATCAAAAGTTTTAAGGATCCGATCACAGGCGCTTATACAAATTATATCGAAGCAATGTGAGGACCACCTTTTTCTATTGAATAAAGAACAGTGATATCCAAACTGGGCAAATTGTGGTGCTTAATAAAGGATAATTTTTTTGTTGTTGACTGAAAAATGCTGTAATGGGTTTTTTCCTCAATTATTTTGTCGTCTGGACTTTCATTCTAATTCATTCAAATCGTTGCAAAAAATTTTTGTTCGTATTATTGTTCTGATTTTCGAAGAAAGTGCCGAATATCTACGGTTGGTATGTTTTTTATTCAGTCAAATTTCTTGTTAACCAAGCGTTTTTTTTTTGTAGGAATTTTTTTTAACATCTGCAAAAAAAATTGTTGTCCTGAGCTCAAATATAAAACGATATATCACTTGTGATTTTTTTTCGTAAAGTTACGGGGGTTTGAAAACTGCTAATTTGGGTAATTTGGGATAATGCAAGTGCGATATTGCGTAGTTATAATACACATAAGAAGCGAATTAACGCGTTTTAAATTGAATTGAAGGAAAAATTTAAATCCTATTGTTACAATACGAGACGCTAAACACACCCTTAGTATTTTACATCGCGTGTGGGGAAACAAAACGAAAAAAAATAGGAAAAAATCCTTTTTTTTGGTCTTAAGTGCAGTTTAAACAATCAGGGCTTCGCCCGATTATAAGAGCAGTCTCGTTAGCCTGCACATTTTTACGGCCAACACTTTGGTTGTGTTCATCTACGAAGCTCATTCACACTGAAAAAAGATATTTACAGCATACTATTGCATCACAGAATATCAATCTGTTGCTGCGACTTCAATTGAATTATTTAACTTTGTAATTTGTGTGGGGAATAAGTTTTCTAAAAAAATATTTTGTTTTCCATTTTTTCCAGTTTTTAAATTCAAGTTTATGGTTTCTTCTATCTTTTACGGAGTAAGAAACACAAAAGAAAACAAACAATTTAAAAACATTGTATGAAGTCGCTGACCTTTATCTTTATACCTTCATAGCGCTAATACACATAATTGCTAACACAAACCGGAAATCCATACAGTATCAGCACAATGAGAAAAAAATGATTCTTTTTCTCTCTTCCTTGCATGAGCATCAATTTTATGGTGTAGCGAGCGGTTTTACTAGGTTAAAGAATACCAAATATGTTTGTCATGGCTCAATAACTTTTCAATAACTTCTCATATTAATCAGATAATGCGAACAAACTTTTCACTTGTACGAATTTGCAGGCGGCGGAGATGGAAGAGCCAGTTTAATAAATGCATTTCTGAATGACGCCCATAAAATGAAAACACTAATAATAAAATTCCATCTATGAATTGTCTAAGAATGCTAGTGCTACAATTCCATTTATGAATTGTTTGGGAAAATGATTATTTACAATTTACAAGTATGGAAACTGTTCGACTAGTTATTTTTCTGTGCAACTTTAATGTGCAACTTTAATGAACAAAATTTAACCTCTGTGCAACTTGTAATGATAATCTGACCCATGGATAATAGTTACTCAGAACAGATGTATTTGGTAGTAAACATACAAATGAAACGAAACTAAAATTTCAATCTTTAAGGAAAAATATGGTAGTCATACACTTTTGATATACTTTTTTCAAATGTACGGAATGTGTTGAGCCATGGGGCGGATATAAGATTTTATCATTATTTTCAAAAAATTTTAGAAAATTTTCTCTACCTTTTTTTTCTTTAAGTCGACCAAATTGATTTTCCGAGCCCTCCCAGAACAACCCTAAAGACTCTATTTCGACCACAAATTTTGCATGGCAGGCAAACAAAGAAATAGTTCAAAAAAGCCGTTTATGGACACTTCTCGAAAAATTTGGATCAAATTGATTTTCCGAGCCTTCCCAGAACGCCCCTAAAGACCCTATTTTGACCAAAAATTGTTTTGCAAGCAAAATTTAAAAAAAAAAAAACAGGTCATAAACACCGTTTTGTGCACTTTTTTGAAAATTTTGATTAGAAACTTTAGTTTTTTTTGCGCGTTCCCTTCAAAAGTAGTATAAAAAGGCGCCTTTAGAAAAATTTTAGGGTTTGTCGGCCCAAAATGGATGTCATAAACTAATACCAAAGGGACCCTTTGGTTGGCGAGAGGGTCGAATCCCTCAGAGCGGGGGCGTCCATTCCGTTCCCCAACCCCAGGGACTGATCTAGAATTTTCGAAAGTTTTGTTGACCTTTTTTTAGTTTGACCAAACTGATTTTCTGAGCTTTCCCAAATCACTATAAAAATTGCTTTTTTTTCGGCGCGCGCTCCCCCTCAAAAACTTGTATATATTGGCGCCAAAGGCGCCTTTATAAAACTTTTAGGGTCCGTCACCAAAATGGATATCTTAAAATAGTACAAAAAGGGACCCTTTGGGTCGAATCCCTAAAAAAAAGCGTCCGCCCCCCACCCCTGCTCCTGGTTTGAACCATAGTATGGAGATTGTATGCCTTGCGTTTTTGCCAATTTAGGTAGATGTACTATTCAAATATGTCCTAAATTTCAGGCGGGCGCCGAGCTCATGCAGAAAGTAAGCACAAACGCAATTTCTTTGCATCAATTCAAAATTGTCGAAAATACTAATATAGCGAAACTTAAATATCTATGGAAAACATTATGTTAATTTATAGGATCACAATAAGATTAGAACATTCATTTTTCAAGTTCGTAGAATGGTCTGTTCCGACACGTGTACATGAAATAGATGGTGAAACCGGTGGTTATCGTCCCGTAAATTATAGCAGACATTCGGTCCAAAATCTTAGACAATAACTTCCAATCTTCCATCAAGCGAAACCTGTTCACGCGAATTTCATTTGTTCTCTGAAATTCCTGCATGTATTGCAAAATTAGTTCAACCGTGTTCGAAATTTCTTTTAACTTGTCTTCGCCTTGTTGAATTTTTTCATTGAATTGTGAAGAAAATTCTGGATTTTTTATAACATGTGCTGCTTCAGCGACGACATTCTTTGTGTCGTAGCTTGGAACTTCGATTGACGTTTGGTTTGACCGGGAACTAAAAGCTCTGTTTTTCAGATTTCTAATCTGAAGTGTCTTGTTTTTCAAAATATCTTGTGAATTGGTTCCATTTTTTGCAACCGGATTATCGATCACTGAAAACGCTTGACCCGAATTTTTAGTAGATGCCATCATTGGTATTTTCACATTGTATGACGAATGACAAGAATTCAGACTGGAACTACTTTTCGATTCGTTTATGGCTGATTCGTTAACAATGTGGTTTCCGATTCGTGGTCCAAATTTTGGGTAATTATATCCAACAATTGGCCCAATAACTCTAAAGAAAACTTTTTGCAATAGAGGAGGAACGGGCTTTACAAAATACTGCTCGCCTGTGAAATGCACCGACAAAATAATTGTAGTTTGGGCAATTGAAACGGCAATCAAAAAAATACACATCAGGTAATATTGTCCAATGATTGGGAAGCTTTCTGAGCTGGCAGGAACGTGACTGGCTATAACTAATAGATTAACACAGAGCGACAGAAAAACAGTCACCGAGAATCCGACTTTTTCCCCGCTTTGACTCGGAAGCAAAAATGTCATTTCGCTCAGAACACTTATCAATGCAGTTGGTACGATTAAGTTTTTTTCGAAGAATTCTGGTTTTCGTTCGAAGAGGAAAGAAAACTCCAAATAAGGAAAGACCATCTTTTGCATGACGGTGTCAGTGATGTTAACGAAGACGGTCGAAGTCAGTCTTTGCGCATTTCGGTCTGCTAGATCCCACTCGTGGTGCTAAAACAAAATTCTATTCCGAGGTAAAAACATTGACAATGTACTTTGGAGTTTTCGAATTTAACTTCCTAATTCTATCAAAAATGGCTATGAAAATTTTAAAATTTTGCTTTGAAAGAACAATGAAAACGTTTGAAATGTCAAAACTGAAACCAAAAGGCAATTAAAATTAAAGAAAAAAATAAATGAAATGGTATAAATAGAACAAAAAACAAGAAACGGGCGTCTAGATTAAACAAATAGTTGATTGAGGGTCAGACAAACCATTTCTCAGCCCAGAAAACCGCCAAAAAAATTAACTCGAAATCAGAGTCAACAACAACCGTTCTCTGTAAAAAATTGAAAAGCTCGTGAGTTTGTGAGTTGATTTTACCTCGTTTATAAATGGTTTTAAACAGGGGCGGATCTAGGATTTTCTCGAGGGGGGATTTAAAAAAAATTTCGAAAAATTTGTCGACCTTTTTTTAGGTCGACCAAATTGATTTTTCGAGCTCTCCCAAAGCACTTTTTTGTCCCTATTTTGGCCAGATTTTCTGCGCCGCAGGCGAAATTTTGAAAAAACCGGCCAAAAAATAGGCACTTTTTGGAAATTTTGACCAAAAAGTTGCGTTTTTTGGCGAGCGCTCCCCCCCCCCCTCCCGGCTTTAAAAAATTTTTAGGGTCCGACGCCAAAAATGGATATCTCAAAATAATACAAAGGGGGCAGACCCTTTGGGTCGGCAAGGGGTCGAATCCCTGAGGAGGGGGGCCCCTGGTTTTTAAATGTATCCAGCTCCAGTATCAGTGCATCAAATACAATTTTATCGAGATTATAGACAACTGGTATGAATCTAATCGCAAACAGTTTTGCTAAACACGATTACATTTAAATCTTTCTATCTTGTGAACAGAATACGGATCATCGAGCGACGGAAAGATAACAAGATATTTTCACTAACAATCATTTGACAAATCGCAAACGCTCAATCTTTCATTTTTGAAAAAAAAACAAGGCAACAAACACAATTAATAGCAAAAATTTCGGACAGAAAATGTTTATCGAAAAGAGAAATTGACCTAGCATGCAAAAGCTAAGTTTTCAAACAGAATTGATGCCTCAAGTTTGTTTGAAACATTGGATATGCAAAACGCTGGCTGAATATGTATAGATTGCTCTTTTGATCATTTCTGGCAGTCCAAACTTTTTGCAACTGGCTATAACTACCTCGACAAATCCGGAAAGAGTGTTTTCGAACTGGAGCAGCCGGATGTCCAATTGGGAGGTGGGCAGCATCCAACTTCCCACTTGGAATGCACACACTTGGCTGTCGTATGGGAAGTGCCGCACACTCATCTGACACGTCGTACTCTTCAGGGTCGGCCGGAAGAAGATGATCTGACCTGCGACGACAAATCAAAAATAAATTTGTCAAAAATTCACGAGCTGGATTGGACATTGGATATCTTTAACAATAATCCCCCCTTTTGAAAAAAGGGGGATTAGTTACTACCCGCAATGACAGAATGGTTTCCGGTCGATTTAAATTGATTTTAAATTGATCCAAGTCGATTAACCATGTACATTTTACGATTTTAAGTGGATTTTAAATCAATCTTTTTGAAAATTTTAAATCAATTTAAGTGTCTAAAAAATCGATTTAAATCGATATCGATGGATTTTCCGACATACTAAAATCGATTTTTTGCTAACACGGCGAAAAAAAAATACCCATTAAGAAAATTGTTGCCATTTTTTATTCTCGATTTTTTTTAACATAAACACTCGTGCCAGATATTATAGAATTCAATAAAATGATCCACATAAATCAGGTTTTAAACTCAAAAATTTGCAATAAAATCATAGAAAACCATTGTAAATCAGATTATGGGCAAAATCTTGTGCAACAAACCAGAAAAAGGTCAGGTAAAATTAAATTGTGATCTCAATAGTATGCAATAAAATCATAGAAAATCATGAAAGTAAATCAGATTTTAAGCAACAACTTATGAAACTAATCAAGAAAAGGGTTAGAATTTTATCGATATTTTGCTCTTTTTATTTGGTCTTTTTATGCTTTAAAACGCTATGAATGTAAAATGAAAAATTATAGGCAAAAAATAAATGCAAAAAAAATTGAAACTGATAAAACTCGAATGAAAAAAATCGATTTAAATCCGTTTTAATCCCCTTAAAATAAAAACAAATTCAGACTGGAAAAAAATGCATTTAAATTGATTTAAAAATGATTTTGATCAATTTTTTTAGCTGGGATTTAAGATCAATTTAAATCGATTCTAAATCGATCCGAATCAATCTTCATCTCTTTAATTTAATGTTCGTTTTTTTTTCATACTAAAATCGATCTAAATTTAATCAACGTATTTTTTTCATACTAAAATCGTATTAAATTTAATCAACGTACTTTTTTTATACTAAAATCTATCCTAATCCAATTTTTTCAGTGCGGGTAGGTTTAAAATTATCACATTCTTAACCGTTGACTTAGTTCTTTATAGTGCGGATGTTCGTTACTAGGTACCCGGGGGGGGGATATAGTTAAAGAGATCCGATGAGTTTTCGTAAATAAATTTATCAAAATAACTTGACACTCTTTCTTCAAATTTCAAATCAAATATAATTCAACATACAAATGAATTGCCTTGAAGATCACTTTGCTATCAAAAACCACGAACATGCACAATAAATTTATAAGGCTACATAATTCCAAACTAATAAATTTGGGGTTTTTTCTGTTGACGGACCCAAAATTAATCTGTTTGCTTTTTTGAAGTTTGATCACGTTGTTCGAGTCTGATTGGTTGAAGTTATTATCAATGAAAAGAAAATTGGGTTTTCAAAAAAAGCTGAAGCTCTATTGACAATTTAATAAGTTTGGGCCGTATAACAGAAAGCACGCCTAATTTGAAGCTAAGTAACGCAGTACACAAACTTGTGTTTCAACGACTTTAGTATAATTTTTATTCCAATGCCACATGTAACGCCGACAAGCATTTCTGACCTCACTTTTAATGCAAAAAATGAAAAATTTTTGTTGTTGGCTAAAGACAAACTATAGATTAGACGAACAATTATAGTTTGTTTCAACCGGTAAACGTTCTTGAGAAATAAACATTTATTTTTTTGAAATTGATTACGTTCTTGAAAGTTCTGGGTTCTTAATTGTATTGAAAATTAATAAAATATATGACAAATTTACACTCGAGCACTTAAATTGTTTTTGATTTATCTAAAATCACTTGATAAAAAAAAAGATTAAAGCCTTTGTTCGGTGAACTTTTGTTTTCAATTTTTGAAAAAATTCTCAAAATTAACTTGAAATGGTAATTCAAAAAAGGGTTGAGTGCAGTAAAGTTTTCTGATATATTTAGATAATTTTTTGGTATATTGAACTTTTTGTGTGGTATTTGAAATGTTTACCACCAAACTCATATTTTTTTTATTATGCAGGCTTTTCTAGCCGTATAGAGTCTAATCCAATAGGTTCACGATGAATATTACTTAAGAAACTGGTGCATAAAATCTGAACATTGAAATCTATCATCAGTTTTTTATGTAAAATGGCTATGAATCATATTTAAGATCATTTTTCCTTAAAAAATTTTTTTTTTGTAAAATAATTGCCAATGATATCTAAACTGGGCCAATTACGGTGTTTAATTAGAGATGATTTTTGTGTTGTTGACTGAAAAAGTTTATATTGGGTTTTGTTTCTTACCCTAGTTTTTTCAAAAGCGTTGCAATAAACAATTGTAACGAAAACTACAAACAGTTATTTTATGTCAAGGCATTCGTTTTATTAGCTTAATCGTTCTTAAGGCCAAAACCTTGATAATGTTTATCTACAGAGCTCATTCACATAAAATTTTGCTGTTTACAGCCTAAATTTGTCTCACAAAATATCAACCTAGTGGTGCGACTTCTATTGAACAGAACAGATTATTTTTGTTTCGTGTGATTTTTCCCTAGACAAATTCCGACTTTTTGTTAGAAATTTATGACAGAAATGTTCATAGAGTTCGAAAAAATAATACCCTGCGTCTAAATTTTTAAAACTTAGCAATATATAAGCCGCAAATTAGCACGGCTCAGAAACTATATCTCATCGAGTTGACGCTAGCTATCGGATGAGAAGTGTATCACTTTCAATAATTTTAGAAAAAAAAGTACAAAAAAAAATTTGAAAATTTTAGCAGATTCGAGCAGCCTTGTTCAGTGTTCTGATTTTCAAAGAGCATTACGAGGCAAAAGTGTGCACTAGATAGGCGAACAATTTAATGTGTGTAGTTCTCCGGAATCCAGCGACAAGTCTTGAAAATTTTAAGTTTTTGTCGGAACGACCAAAGAAAAAAAGAAAGGACAAAGGAAGAACAAAGTGTTGCGGAATCTGCTTACAAATCACAAAATACACAGTTGGGCCTCGTTATGAGAGTGGTTCGACTATTTGTACTCAGTGTGGTATTTGTACTTTTGAGTAGCCAAATGTGATGACTTTTTTATACAATCGAAAAAATATCGATATCTCAAGTTCAAAAAAATGACTGTTTTTTGATAATTTTCCTTAGCAAACTCATGGTGCGTTAGAAATGGATATTTTGGGATAATTTGTGAAGCACAATAAACTCATTAAACTGCATATTTCTAAACTAATATAGGTCTTTTCTGCTGTACTTGTGTTTCAACGACCTTAATATAAATTTTATTCGAATTCAACATGTAACACCGACGCTGACAAAAAAAAACGTTGCCGTGCAAGCAGCACAGAAATTTCTGACCTCACTTGTAATGCAAGAAACTGAAAAATCTTTGTTGTTGGCTAAAGACAAACTATAAATATGACAAAAACTTTTAGTTTGATTCAAAAAAAATGAGACTCAAACTAAAAGCGGAAATACAAATTACCGAATTTTTAAAGCCAAACTGAGCAGAAAAAAATTAAGAACGAATAATTTAATTAATTGTATCTGCTCACTGAAATTTGAAAATCAGACTGAAATTTTCAGATCAATTATTCACATCACTCAATTTTTTTGACTTTTTTATTGATCCGAATTCTGACTCGCAGATTTTAATTTGATACCAAGTTCACAAACGTGTTAGGACATAATTAGATTCCAGTTTTCGTCGCAGTTTTGCGACTGGCATTAAAAATTCTTGCTTTGATCTTTAAAGACTAGAACATAATCCAGATACGGAGGATAATGATTTCTAAAGCTTGGTTCCCAAATTTTTTCTAAGGTTGTGTTATTGTACCGACTAGGGTTAAACTTTTTTCGTATAATCTTGCCCAACTTTCGAAACAATTGCACGCGATCAAATTTTAAATTCAAAATTTCTCTCAATTCTAAGATTGACGAGGCTGAATGTTGCCAGTTAGTTTCAAATAGTGTAAGTGCTTTTTTCAGTATAATTTTTCATAACTGCAAATCTTTTATCCTTGTGAATGATGGCCATATTATTTGTTTTTTCTTTCAAAATCTTGTAAAATTTTCCAACTATATGGTAAATTTGCGGACTTCGAAGCCAAAAACTAATCATGATGTGGATGTTGCATAAATAAACTCAAAAAATGAGCTGAACCTTGAGTAAAATCTTGCACAAAAAAAAACACTTTGATCTGATCTTTTTTGGTAAAGCTATCGTGTTTGAAACTTTCAGCACGGCCACGTTCTGGGCTAATTTAAAATCGTTTTAAAATACACAAAGGTGATCAAAGTGGTTAAAAATCTAACCTTGAATGATTAAAGCGGTGCAAACTATCCAGCAATTTAATTTCATTCACTCATTTTTGCTGTTTAGGAGGAAACACAAGCTAACACAAACTCCTGATTTATCAAAATTTTTTCTTTGACAAAAAACTATTCGAGACCAGTTAATTGGTGGTCGGAACATTTATGGCTTGCCCTGACTCAAGACAAAAGCCTTGTTGTTCTTTCGATGAAATTGACTTTCGATGAAATTGACGGAACTATTGTGTTCTTCCAATTTTTTTGATATAACTTATTGATAGCGTGCGGGGGAAAAAGCCTGAAAAAATCAATAACTCGGAAAAAAAAAGTTTTAGGATCAAAAACAGTTATTATTCCAATTCTATAGGTAAACATTGTATAATACACAAAATATGCTTATCAAACAATTTCTTTAAATACAAATTTTCTCCATGGGAAGTCTTATATCTATTAGCATCAATTATGAACAAAAAAAAACAAAAACTCTAGCAAATTATTTAAAAAAAAACAGAAAAATGTTTACCATTCAAGTATCATAAAACTGGAAAATTCTGGCCATACAATTTTTAGTTTGTTAAAAAAGCTTGTCGTTCAGGTTTATAATACGGAAAAAATTTTATCATGCTGTTTCATTGCAATTGTTTCAATCTACGAGTTTTTCCGAAACTGTATGAAATAGTCTGAAATTATCTGATGCTCATTTTTTTCAACCCGGCGATAAATAATTCGTATTCGAGCATTAAAAAATCTGTTCATGTGATGACGATCATGTGTCCTATCACACATGAGCAGATATCGGATACGGTATGACAACTCTCACAGATGGCAAAATCTCAATGCGTACCGAAGAACTTAACCATGTCAGAAAAATTGAACAAACAACCACACTTTTGGCTGTCAGTCAAAATTAGACTTGAAAGACCACACTAATTTGTACTATTTGGGACGCGGATGGCCTATAAAATAAAAAGCAATGTGAACATGTGTTTAAATCGGCAGAAAAATATTCAATAACTGGGAGGAAAAAATTACGGTTTTTCATTGAGGCGAAGCGGCGCTTATCAATGTTTGCGGAACAGGTTTTACAAGCAAAGTCAGATATACCAAAAGTTCAATTTCGAACCTTCCGAACTGACAAAACTGTTTTGTGGTTAAATAAAAATATAAACTAAATTGTGTTTTGGTCGATCCAAATTGATTAAACAGTACACTTTGGAAATTGAACTGAAAATCAAATTGATTTGAATAGATCTATCCTGAAATTTATGAAGTTTAGGAGCAATTTTGATGCCTAAAATTTAAATTCAATCAATTTAATAGGGTTTTGGAAATAAGACTGAAAATCAAAAATTTCTAAATCTTAATTTCCTCGAAATTTTTTTTCTCGCACTGGCTTGTTTTTGAAATATTTTAAAGACAGTTTGAACTTTCACTAAAAAAATTGCGTAGTACTTGACTTTGCACGAAAAAAAAACAGAAAAAAACATACCTAAAGAAAGTTCCTCGCCATTTTCAATTGTCGGAACAACAATTTTGTGACGCTAAAAAATTGCATTACCCGCATTGAAGTTCCATGAATAAAAATCGATTATAATTGAGTTTCCTTGTCAGTGTCCCCAAAAGTGAAAACAAATCGATTATAATCAATTAAAAATGGACTATAATATTACTGTTTTTCGAGGCATTTAAATCCTTTTTTCATCCATTATAATCGATTTATTTTCACTTTTTTGGACACTGACAATGAAACTGATTTATAATCGATTTTTTATCCACTTTACCGAGGTGCGAATTTTAACGCACATAAAGTCTTTTCTACGTTTTAAATTAAAGTTGCTTACGTTGGTTACTTGTTGTTCAATTGATTTTTTTTCTACCTAACTTTGATATTCTTGTTACTTTTTTACATTACTCAACATTACCCCACCCCCCTAGCGTTTGCCCATTTACAACAAACCCCCTCCTCTCCCTCCCCTCCCAACGCAACGTGTTCAGGTGGGTTTGGTTTCAGGTGTGGGTTGTTCAGGTGGGGGGTTGTTCAGGTGGGGGGAGGGGGGTATGTGGGTTCAGCTGGGGGGGGGGGCATGGTTTTTTCAGGCGGGGGTGTTCAGATGGGGGGTTGTTCAGCTACTGGGGGGGGGGGGGGGTGTTCAGGTGGGGGTTTAGTGGGGAGAGGGGAACAAAGGGGCAAACGTTAGGGGATTGAAGGGGAGCAAAGGGGCAAACATTGGGGGGGGGGGGGGGGAGCTCAACGGAATCTTTTTGCACTTTGAGTTTAGGTTTTGAAATGGATCAGGCCAGGCCGTACACTCGCTTCGCACAGTTTCCGCATCACTCACTTGATAAATGCTGAAATTCTTGCATCATTTTGCACGACGCGCGAAACAAAAATAAAGTGGAAAAAAATCCATTTTGATGTGATTTCCTACTTATTATAAAATCCATTTTTAGTCCAATTTTCTTGTCTGGACGTAACATGGGAATCGATTATATTTACACCTTTAAAGACCACGAAAGTCCATTATATTCGATTTGTTTTCACTTTTCTTAAATGCGGGTAGCGCTTTTATCTCTTTGTCATAGATAAAATCTTTAAAATCTTTTTGTTTGCATTGAAGTCAAAATAGAAGGCTTTCAGATCTGATTTTTGCAATAAAATTTCATCAGAATGCCCAAACAGAAAGGTTGGATATTTTTTCTTTTTGTAAGTCTTGACCTTTTTCAACATTTTCAATTTTTTTCTTTCAAGAACACTAACAAATGGAGGGTTGAAGTTCATCATAATTAATTTTTTTTTGCAAAAAAAAACTATCGGCAAAAAATGACCTACAGTTTTAAACAATTTTATGCCTAAAATAAAACAAAATCAATTTTCGAAGTGCAGTTTATGTTGATTTATGCCGTACAAGAATAGCATAACAAGTGTTGACCGCAATTATTGTTCAAAAGTTAAAAAAACATTTAATTTTTTTTGTGTCGTTTTTGTTTGCAAGGAAAAGGAACAAAAACACACTTCGAACTTTCGTAATTATTTTAACCGGCTGAAGTATCTCACCAATTTTTTCAAAAATCATTGAAAACAAAAGCATGATCTTGAAAACTTGTTATATTGATGTTTCTTAATTAAACTTTAAAAGTCAGAGTTATCGAAGTTTTGGTGTCAATTAACTGCTAATTGAAGCTTAAAAATATGTATAATTTTTCTGCTTACTAAATAATATAGTTTATTCCCAAGTCACTTAATAAAATTTTACTCTACTCACTAGCTGAAAAAAGAATTGTAAAAAATACAAAAACAGTTTTTCTTGAAACTGAGACAATTTTTGAAATGATTTTAGTATGTATCGATCAAAACAGAAATGATTTCATAAGAAATAAATCATAGTCTATGAAAAAAACAACAAAAAAAAATAGTTTTTTTTTAATATTGTCATCTTTTTTTCTGCGTATTGTGATGAAAAGATTTGAACTGCAAACTGAAACTTACGATAATTCAGCAGTCTTGGCAAAAAAAACAAAATGATACAGAAAACAAAAAAATATATCAAAAAGTCCTGAATCGTGCTCCAAAAAAAATTCAACAACAACTCTATTTGGGTAAAACTAAGTTTTCGCGGTCTGAATTAGGCAAAAATAAGCTATTGCAAGCCCGCTCGTTCGCATTATTTGCTCAAAATTAGATTAAAAATTGAAAGTTTTTAACCTGTTTTTCTCAAAATTGGGACAGTTTGTTAAAAAAAATTGATTTCAATCGAATCACTACTAAAAGAGCTTTAGTATAATATATCACTCAACCCTCTCCGATGTTTATCTGAGGTGTCTGGTTTTGCGTAAAAAAAACAAAAAGAAATGAAAAAAAAGAGGAAAACAAGGAAAAAAAAACACCAGAAAAGAATTTGGAAAAGGATTTTTCAAATGGTCGGAACAATAATAAGTCTTTGTGTGCTGTATGTGTTTTTGGAGGTGTGTGTGTGTGTGTGTGTGTTTCTCTGTCCTTCTGAGTGCGTGTGTTTGTGGCCAAACTTCTTCTAGGATAATACCAATAAGACCGAGAAACTTTGTATACATGTAAGCTTGATTACGATTTCCCAGTTACCAGTTTTTCCCAATTTCCTTTTTAACTGGCAAAAAAGTAAAAGTTAGCATTTTTAAAAGTTCTATATATTAAGTTCTGTTCGTATAATAGAACTTTTTATAATAAGTTCAATTTTTGTAATAAGTTTTTTTATAATCTTCTATTTATATCATTATAATTTTCCATTTTCCCGGGTTCACCAAAAAAGCTTATCATACAATTTTGTACAATTCCATAGATACAGAAAATGTTAAGAAAACTCTAAGATTAGAAATTTTCATACATGGAAATTGTAGGATAAGCTTGTTTTCATAAACCAAAAACTTGATTTTTTTTTTGAAAAAAATTATCAAAATTTTGGGATGTGTTCGTGACAGAATACAAGTGACTAAACCCATGGTTTACTCAAAACTAGAGTCACCAAAGGGCTAATCGTCTGATTTTTACAATGCATTGGAAACGACCTGAATTGTGTCGGAGTTTTCTTCACAAATCATATACTAAAAGCATCAAGCTTTTGAATTTTGGCAAAAATTTTCAAAGATGATTATTTTTAAAATTAGATTTTTCAAATTATCAGACATCAAGGCAAATTTAAACATGCCATACAAACGAAATAGGAGTTTTTATCCTGTTTGAGAAACGGGGAAAATCCACTTTTTGTGTATCCAGAACTACGTTATGCAGGCAAAAAACTAAAATTTGCATACTGAAAAATTCGATTTGCGACTGAAAAAAGTTTTGGGGCAATTTCAATATTTTTTCAAAAAAAAATGCTAGTCATACAATTTTCATATATGGAAATTGTATGATAACCATTTTTTTCCAAAAAAAACAAACAGTTGTTTTTCATCACCAGTTTTATTTGGTTCAAATAGCCGCAAAAACTAGTGCGAATTTTTTTCAATGGTTTTTTGAAATTGTATGAAAATTGTATCATTAGCATTTTCCATACATTTGATGTATGGAATTGTATGCTAAGCAGTTTAGGTATATGGAATTGTAAGATAAGCATTTTCGGTTAACGGAGGTCAACCCGGGTTAACTTTTCTTATATTATAAGTTATTATTATCAATGCGATCATCCATTTTGATCGATTTAAATGTATCATAATTTTTTGTGCGCTTTGTTTTTCTTTTTTTTTTGTGCGCTTTGTTCGTAATAAATTTTAGTTTAATTTGTTATTTTGGTGCTTCATTCATCTTCAAAATATTTTTTACACTCAATCACTTTTTTTATGTTACATTTTTTGTAATTCTTTGACTTTGACAACTTAATTTATTCCTCAACTCCTTCACCCCCACGTTTACAAAACGAAAACGCCCTTCAGGTACCTTTTCCATCCTCATTTCTTTGGGGGTTATAATGGGAGAGGGTGGAAAATTGGGGGTGGGGGTAAACAGAAAGGTGATTTTTTCTTACTGATTATTTTTACTTTTTCATGCTCGCAATGCTCCATTCATGTTGCTTCGGTTATTAGATTTAAACTTTGAAATTAAAATTTAAAGTTGGAGAGTTACATTTTAAAAAAGTTTTCTGGGGTTTCTATTGAGACACAAATAGATTTCATTGCAATTATATGGCAAAATTAACAGATTTTAGTGGTCTTTTATAGCGAAAAAAAGTCTTGAGCTTATACAGCGAAAAAAAAGATGTTTTTTTTTTAGGTTAAATAGAGATAAAAATAACATTTTTGTTTGAATTACAGAGCGGTATAATCGATATTGAGTTGCTTAAAATGATGAATTGCTTAATTTCTTCTGAATAAAGTAACAAAACTTTTACCTGAGCTGAGCAGCATGACCTTGATGATTGACCTGTCTTTGACCTCTTCCATTTCGTCCAGCGAATTTTGGAATATAATATCTGGGATCCAGATATCAATGGGACTCACAAACACCTGCGTCAAGTTGCCGAATTCTCTCGGATCCCAAGATAAAAACTCGTCAAACCATGTCTGTCGTTGCCATAGAAATAGGGTCATCTGCTGGGTTTTCACGTTAACATCAATAACTTGTTTCATAGCAATGTCGAACTTCACAATAACTGGTTTTGATTGGTCTAGCTTTGGACGAATCAAAATAGAGTAGTTTTGGAACAGAAAACGTTTGAGTCTGTTCGCGGTGTCTTGAATCGTCTTAGTCGTGTTTGTACTCTCCGATTCCAGATCGTCGGCAGATACTCCATGATTCAGAGTAAAAAGAACAAAAACAAACCATAAAAGTTTAAAACAACTGCAGGAAAATATTTCAAAGCCGATGAACATCATTTTATTTCATAGCCGATTAACAAAAAGTAAAAGCATACGATAACAATTCAATTAAATTTGACAAATGAAAAACGGTATTAGCCAGGTTAAAATGTTTATCAAGGGATATTCAGGGAACTAATTTTTTCATTTGACATAAAAGGTAATTGGAGATGACTGGCGGCATTTTCTTGTTGCTGGTCATTCAACTTTGGTAAATTTCTCAGCTGAAAAATTGTCACAAGGGGGAGAATTGTACTGAAAACCGCTGGGGTGTGAAGTAGAGATATCATCAAAATTGCCAAATAAAGTTAAAAAAATTGCCAACTGAATTAAACAAACAGCCAACTGAAGTAACAAAATAGCCAACTGTTGATACGCCAGAGACGGAAATGTTTAGGAAATAACTAAGAATTAATTTGCGGTCTGCTGCCCCGCGCGGTGCTGAAGTTCTGAATAAAGTTCTCTTGGTATATTTGCTCTGTTAGGTCCTGCAACCACGGGCTGCTTCCCTTCAAACGATGCCAGACAGCCGATAGTGCAACTGGCCGAATCTATGCAACCATACTATACAGTTATATGGCTAAAAATTTACGAAAAGAAAACAGTATCGAGAAAAAAAAACAGATCTCAACTTTTTTGCGAAAAAAAAAATCACAAAGACAATTTTTTTAACGAAAAAATTTCAGTAATAGTTCTTTTTCATTATCTCAAAGTAGGTATTTTGAAGGTTTTAAGTCTGTTTGGTGAAATTGTTGATTGGACCACAAATTATAGCTTAATAATATGCTGCATAAATTGTTTAAAAATACAAAAACCAATTTTGGGTTCATTTTAACCGATTGAGACCCAGATCAACAAATTGTTAAAATAGACTTAAAACCAGCGAGATAGCTGAGCTTGAGATCATAACAGAGCAAACTATGTAACTGTAAAGTTTTTTATAAATAAAAGTCAGTTTCTCGATTTTTTCATAAGAAAAACTGTTTTTTTTCTCGATACTGTTTTTTTCCAACTTTTTGGGTTTTTTCTTACTTATTCTGCCATAAATAGTTCAACAGCTCATCAATAATTAATTGAACGAGTTTTTTTAATTTTGCATTCAGTTTCAGCCAATCAGATTCGAGCATTTCCATTAGTGATTTCTATACTTTGATAGTTGTATTTGGGAGGAATACTTAAAAAGACCCAAATTTTTTCTATCAATATTTTAAGCTATCTGCCGTTGAAAAAGTGCCACAGAAGGAGACATACATAATAACATCGCTATGATTAATTGATTTACAGCAAATACTTCATCTCCATGGCCGAGAATGATATTGTTTAAAAATGATAGCTTTCACTGCGTCATCATTTAAGCCATCGCAATGCGTCGAGTTGGCGCACTTGTCATGAATAATTAACTGAGTGGGAAGAAGTAAACAGAAAACGACAAAAAGTAAGTAATTTATGGAAATCAAGCTAACGGTAATTTTATATACGTCAGCTGATAGAGTATAATAGTATGATGCAGGGGCGGAATTAAGGGGAGGGGTCGGTCTTTTTATCCTCCCTCAGGGATTGGACCTCCTCGCCAACCAAAGGGTCCCCCTTTAGTATTTTTATGATACCATTTTCGGCCGACCAACCCTAAAAACGCTACCTCTCCTCACACAAAACCAAGTATATTGATATTTAGTTGAATAGTGTCACACTATTATAGTGATTACCAGAATAGTGATACTTGGAACGTGTTACTTAAGTTAAAGCGAGGGGAGGGGGATGTTAACTTGATTCAAGTAGGATTCAAAGTACATTTGCAAATAATCAAGTTTGTAATTTTTTTTTCTTCATGTTCTGCATGTGAAATCTCGGATCATGTTGGAACCCTACTGTCTAAATTGTCAAAGTTTAAAACCTTACGCCCTATTAATTAACTTGATATAAATTTGGTTAGCACTGCGTGTCACATACTCAATTCTGATTGGCTGCAATTTCCAATTTAGAACTGGAGCCAAGTAAGCACGGGAGGATGGGAGGATTTAACTCGATCCAAAATCTTTTGAAAATGAAAGTTTTGGGAAAATGAGAGAGTTAAACTTTTTAGTACATTATTTATAATTTTCGATCTCCTTGTCTGTATGTTTAGTGGTACTTAAATCATAATCCGAAATTGGTTTTAAAAGGTCTGTATAAATCACTGCAGTTTTGGTTGTGGTTTTATAAAATAGTTACCCTTGATTTTTTCGGAAAAAAATTGCGAACAGAATTGAAAAAGGGGCAGAAAAATAAGATTTGTCGCAAGGTTTTTTGCACTTTTCCAACGACAGGTAATTTCAATTAATTACAAGCCGGAAAATAGTTCGAAACAGATCCAAAATGGAAGAGAAAAATATATATATTTAAATGTCTCTCGAATATTAAAAAGTGCCGTGTTACTACAACGCAGAAGTTTACAGGAAATTATATATTCATATTGCCTTTTACAAATGGTAAGTTTTAGAATCAAAACTTCGCAGTGAATATTAAACAGTGAATATTTTTTGCCCAAGGAGGCAATTTACCGGCATACTTACATTCCTAAAAGGCATAAACAGAGCGCAATTGTGACAAACAAGCGGCGCAAAAACATCAAAGCCAATCCTGCAGACAAAAGTATAAGTTTTTCTGTTGCGAACACTCACCTTTGAGAAGCAAAGGTTTAATAATTTGTTCCCAAATTTTTTCCAGTATAAAATTATATCTTCTCTTCAATTTGTCAAGTGGGCGGTCCTCGATAAATTAAGACAATTTATCCACTAGGGAAAGGACCAACGTACGAACCGTTTAGCTATTCACGGGGAACCATTGATGTTTCCCTGCTGAAGCATTACATGCACTTTTTCATTTGGGTTTTTCTGAGCTGGGCAATGTTCCCTCACCCTGAAGCAACGAGCATGGATCACGCTGGTCCTCGAACATCTGACCTTTTGATTGAGAGACGGAGACGTAACCCTGTTGAGTAAGGTGAAAATGAAACAAATTAAAAATTTTATGGATTCCCTTGCTGCCCTGAAACAAAAGGGAGTTTAGAATCAATTAGAATCCATTGTTTTGAGGGATCTACTTGAAAATCGCCACCCCTATGGTATCTATTAAAAAAAGCTCCCCTTTAATAAAAAGCATTAAATTAGCACTAGAGCTTTTTATTTAAAAATCGATTTTTGCTGCAATCTGATTGGTCAAAGGTTTGACCAATTTAACCTACTTAACAATCCCCCACTTTACTAAAAGGATTTTTATTCAATTTAAATGGTTTTTTTTAAACTTTTTTTTAGCCTGGTGCAAAGTTTTGCAAGAATTTCTGCATATCTCAAATGAGTAATGCAGAAAGTTTGCAAATCGAGTGTCTTTATCAAACAATTGCTTCTTTTACCCTTATCCCCCCCCAACGCATGTCCTTTTACGACTTACTCCCACCACCCTCCCCCATTATTTTTCCCTTTTATAGACACTGGCCTTAAGACTCATATTTAAATGATTTTTATCCATAGAACTCCATTACGGGACCACTTCACCAGTGCTCCCCCAACTGATATGAAACACCAAATGTTATAGCACGTTGAAAATAGTTAATAACAAACGGTACATAGCAATAAAGTATTATTTATCTAATCTGCAAATTTAACTATCTTTCTATAGATTTTGCTTTTTTATGAGTAGCTAAATTTTCACTTCTGTTGAAAAAATACTTTCTTTGGAAATATCTCTTGTAACTTTTTTTTGAGATTTTCGCAAAAAAGTGAATTTTCAAGTTCTCTTAAATCTGAGGAAACGTTCAAAAAAACATCAGAAAATTTTTTAAAATTTCACCACAAACTGTTTTTTTGCAAGTGTTTTTTTAATTTAATAGTTTCGTTGCTCAGCTTTAGGTGGAGTCAAAACTACACAAACAAACAGAGGAATATGGAAGATAATCTTGATCCTCTCTGTAATTTTGAGGAAAACTCTGAAATCGCTTAATTATCTTTTTAAGGTTATCACAATGAGCTATTTGGGATCCGTTACAATAATAAACGGTGACCCGAAATTTTAGTTCTGAAAACAAAAAGTCACCCAGACCAGTTTTAAAAAATCTAGCTCATTCATACTGTAAATTTTTTCTGCTGAAAAATCTGGATTCACATGCCAAAAGCAATCAGTGCTCGTTCTTTGCTGGAAAGCCGCCCCCAAACTTGCTGAGTTTCCGCGCTTTCTAATGTTTGTTAGAATTTTAAGTCGATTATTCTTCCCATCTCAACTGCTTATTTTTTGTAACGAAAGTTTTCTTGTGGGCCTGGCCAGCAAAAAAAGTCCTTCTTCATCAAAACATTCTTATAATTATCTACTTGGAATAGATTGAAGGATAAATCATATTACAGCACTTTTAGTCATGATTCGAACAAAAATGTATATCGCTTGTTATGTTTGATTTTTGGTCTTATTTCAATCAATTAAGACGAGCGAGCAAGCTTACTTATGCTTATTTTAGGCCGTTTACAATAGCAGCGTAATTACGCTATATAAAATTTTACTCGAGTAAAATTAGTTTTTGGAGTTTTTTTTTACCATTTCCAGAATCAAAATATTTTAAAATTAAAAAAAACAATTTCAGCAAAAAATATTTTAATTTATTGAAATTTTTAATGATTTTTTCGGTTTTTGTCTATTATACTATGACTGCCGATTATGTCTAAATTTTTAGTTTTTTTGTTCAGATCTTTTGATCACACCACGCAGACAAAAACTAGACTGGTTTGAAAAAAAAAACTTTTTTTAAAGACTATGGTCTGAAGATGCAGTGCTACTTGCACATCAACCGGCTATCCTTGTTCGGTCCTAACAATTAACAATGTCGCTCCTAAGTTTAGCAGTATTTTCTACATAGAAAGATGCAACTTGAATCAACTATGCTGATACTTCTAATATCTAAACATTTCAGTTTTCAAGCTCATATACGATGCATTAGGAACAAATTTTGGAAAACAAACGTTTAGATTTACTGCAGCGCATCATTGGAACAATTTGCCTTGTGAACAGCTTGCCCATGATAACTTCATCAAATGAAGTTGAATTCGATGAACTCTTCTTCTCGGCAATTTGTTTGAAGTCTCATTTGATCAAAAAGTACTTTTGTAATATTAGCTTCAGTTAGAAAACGATAAAATTAGGTGATCTAAACAATCAGGAATCCGCAAACTTATTGAAACCTTTCATTTGAGGAACGTTCTTTTGAGCAACAGATTTCCATCCAGTGTTTTCAAAATGTTTTCAAACTGCCATTGGTGTGTGCTAGCTAGTGAGTAAATTTCACGACGCTTATCAATCAATTGAAAACTTTATGGCCAGCAACAAAAGACAACGACGGTCCTGGTGAAACTCCCAGTCCAACTCAGAACAGATACATTCATTAAAATAACCGAGGGAAGAAGGATGCTAATTCATCAGTTCATGTTAAAGAAATTATAAATGAAAAATAATGGGAACTATACTGTGCTTTTAAAAGAACTGAACTGCAAACTGAATACAAAAGTTTTGTGTTCAAGTAAAATTCCGG